AAAAAACATGTGCTTTGGACAAGCACAAATAGTACTAAATACTAATGATGGTAAATATTTACATTTTTTGTATTTTTAAATCTCAAAAGATTTGAAAACTAAATGTTAATGATGTTAAATATTTTTGGTAATGTTCTTATGTTTCAATTTTACCAAATTTAATGTGTTAGTTGATATATTTTGAGCATATGATGCTTGAATGTTATTGTTTATATTTTCTAATAATTTTCATTATTTTTTAGGTCTTTTTATCTAACATTTTTTGCGCATCGGCCAATCTTGTGGTGCAAAGCTGTGATCAATGTGTATCAATATCCTTAGAGTCGACAACCGAGACTATAACCTTGAACCATGGGTTACCTACCAGGTCAACAAGCCGCGTTTGGCAAATCATTGCTTTTCATTCTTTTTGAGGAGGCCTTTAGAATTTTCTTTACCTTGGTCATTGTTATTGTTTATGGTGTTTCATCTTGTTCTTCATGTTCTTGTTTTTTTTTACCGTTGTGGGTTTTTGAGATGAGCATGCCAAATTATAAAGAATTCTATTCTAGTGCAAGTTAATAGACATTACAAATGTAGACTGCTAAACTTAGCTTGTTCGAGCATTGGATGTTAAGACTTAACATCATAATGAATTTCAATGCTTTCATGGCATTTCATCTAGCATCTTTCATAGTATTCAAAGCGGTCTTGTTCTTGAACAGAAAATATTGGGAAAACTTGCTCTTTACATGTCATTTGATGTTATGATAGAATGTGTAATTAAGCATAACTAGGAAAGGCAAATCCTTTGCACAAATTGCTTTTGCAATGAAGTGCCCTAAGTTGACTCCTTGAAATTGAGTGAGTGAGTCAAGTGCTCTTGAGGTGAGGTGTTGATTCCATCAAATTTTTGATCTCTAATCAACATCACAAACAACTTGGTTAAGAAGAATTTGTGAAGCTATTGGTCAAAAACAAGAAGTGGGTATAGAAATTTGTTGCTACAATATATCAGCTATTGCTATGGTGAAGAATCCAATCAACTATGATAGTAACAAAACACATTGCCATCAAGTACCATTTCATCGGAGAAGCAGTGGAGAATGAAAAGACACAATTGCATTGCGTTTGGTATTCAATTAGGTGAGAATGGAATGGACTTGGGAATAGGATGCACATTCCCATTCCAATGTTTGTCAATTATGTGGGATTAAGCCCTGAAATGGAATGCACATTCCATTCCCACGTTTGAATAAAATAATTTTTAGTGGCATTGAATGAAATTTGACCAAAATAAATATCTCAGTTAATGTGGGCAACATAGTTCTATAAAAAATACACCACCTAGTTTTGAAATTTGACAAATACACGATAAAACACACAATCAATTCACTCTTAAATAACCACATAACATTTTTCATGAAAAACATAATTAAACTCAATAACAAACATAATGGATAGAAGTAACATGAATACATAGTTTCAATGTCCTACCTTGTTTAGTGTTCCATAGACAAGAAATCTAAAAATATGTTCGTTTACCATGCATCGTCCTATATAATATGAATAAGTTCATTATTCAAACAAATATATCTCAGACATCACCCTTTAATATAGAGATGAGGGGGAGGTAAAAAGTGATTGGGAGACGAAGAGAGAACAGGTGGAATGCCATGGGCGTTGATGAGAGAAAAGGCTAATCGGGAAGAGATGAGAGTTGCAAGAGACGGGAGTGACCTATGTAGTGGTAAGAGGAAACGGGAAGCGAAAAAATGATCTGGCCTTTTTTCGTAGTTTGGGAATCAGAAATACTATTGTAGATTTGGTGAAGTTTGATCCCATCAGTTATGGGATTAGCTATTCCTTAGGAATGAGAATCAATTTTAATTCCCACCAACCAAACATAGGAATGAGCATTACTGAGTAACGTATATTCCATTCTCAAGGCTCAATACCATGTCCCAAATGCGTTATTAAAGTATTGAAAGTTTGAAGATCAATGGGCTGACATTCTCACCAAAGCTTTGGCCAAAGAAAGACTATAATATCTTCGCAATATGATCGGAGTGACACAAAAAATGCATTCAGGGTGAGTGTTGACAATAATGCATTTTTGACAACTATGCAAGATTTGATCACATGCTTAAAAGCAAGAACCGAGAATAAATCAAGAGTGTTTGTTCATTTCATTTCAATTCTATTGAGTTCCACAATAGTAACTCCATATATATGATCTACTTTATGGTTTTTGCTTATTATTCGACCAAATACCCAACATAATCGGACCCAAAAATATCGTACTCGTTGTGATACCAAAATATGGCAACAACTAAAGTCTCACAAGCTATGACCCTGGTATTCATCGGGGAAATACTATTTTTGAAAAATCAAAAGGAAGACTTTGTTGATGTCCAAAAGTCTATGAAATATTACCGAAATTGGTTATATACGGAGTCCAAAAATGAAGTTGAATTCAATGACAAGCACACAAAAGATGTCACTCCTCTACATTGAACAAGTTGTAACTGAATCAATTTTTTCGCTAATCATTGAACCCTCTAAAGCTAAAGAAGCATAGAAAATTCTACCGAAAGAATTCCAAAGCAATACGAAGGTAATAAGCATCAAACTTGAATACTCGAGAAAACAACTAGAAAATTTCAAGATGAAGGATTCAAAAAGAGATCTCTTGATATGGAAAGAGATTATCACTCCATATATCAAGTCTGGTAATTAGCTGAGCGATATTTTTACCAAGCCATTGGTTCAGTCTGCTTTCAGTTGTTTATGTTCCAAGCTGTAGGGCAACCTAACCTACACTGCTACACATTAGATTATTCTTTCCTCTCATGTTCACTTTTTCTCTTGCCTCCTTATCTTCTTCTTCTTCCATCTTTCAAACCCTAATACTACTTTATTAACTTTTACTAATTGACCTAAACACGACACGAAGTGGAAAATGAAATGATCATTGTTAAGCAATAAATGGGCCATGGCGTAAGACATGAGTAAGTCGTTTAAGTGACGTACTACTAGATGAAAAATGTTATTTATAATTTTTTTTTTTTCATTTCTTGATTTAGTATTGTGTGAATTCTTTAAATTAGATGTCTTTTGATTTGGTTTTGTTTTTATCTGGATCAAGTAGTTTTTAATTGTGGGAGACTTATGTTTGATTGGTTTAGTTGACATGACCCGGAAAGGACACAACCTGGCTCGATTGACACCCTTAGTTGGATTCTTCTTCTTAGTCGTGACATCCTCTTTTAAGGATTGACACTTACAAGATTTTTTTTTTTTTTTTTTATTTACTTATTGCACTATTGCTTGACTTCTAGCTTTCTAAAGGAGAAGGATTTCCAACCCTTTAGCAGACTGCTTCTAGATAACCAAGCTTAGCTACTCCTTATCCCATTTACATAGATGATGGAAATTTTTGTCTGAACAGAAGTTTTTAGGATTAGCGTCATTTTTTGTATTACTTTTGTGGATGTGTAAAAGTTCCTAAATTCATTAATACTTGTAGTCTTGACTATATGAATTGGGAAAGTCCCAATATAAATCTGTTGCAGTTACGATCATAGGATTGGAGTTAGCCGCCACCATTGGAGTGCATTCACATTCATTCCATGTTTCACGTAGTCAACCTTACTTGAGTAAAAGTGAAACAACTTGAAGATAGCTTTGCCAAATGTATTTTGGCAAACTTGGTAGTCGTTCCTTGAGTGGCTTAAGGGGTCCCGACCTATATCAAGGATGCACTGATTAGTGTTTTGATGAAAAGTTTGCCTGGGCGAGAAGCAAAGCGAAGAGAGGTTCTATCGTCTTGAGCACCTCAGGCGAAGCGAATGTGACTGAAGTAAAGAAAAAGCGAGAAAAGCGAGTGCCTTGCGCTTAAGCGAATGCCTTAGTCATGCAAGGCGAGGTTGTCTTGAATTATTTTATTTTTATTATGGACCGTTGGATTAGGCAACTAGAAAAAAATTATAAGATGCACATACACCCAATTACCCCCTTATCCTATAAATACAACACTCAAATCCTAATTTAGCTTAAAGGGTCAGACGATGAGTGCTAGGTGCTGCTGCTCCTTCCTCGCTGGTTAGAGACGATGACTGTTGTTGCTGTTCCTTCCTCGCTGGTCCACACACAGGTTTGTCTGCTTCTCTTTTTCTTCTCTCTTTTGTTTATCTTCTTCTTGCTTTTAGTTCTGATTCTCTTCTTTTTTCTCACTTCTGGTTTTGGTTTTGGTCCTCGTTGGTCCACACTAGTTCCGTTTCTCTTCTTCTTCTTCTTCTCTCTATTTGATGCTGGAATTTTTTGTAAATGCATATTTTGCTGATTCTGTTCTTTTTTTTTTTTTTTTTTTTCTACTTCTACTTCTGTTGCTTTTTTCTGCTTCTGCTTCTGCTGTTTTTTTCTACTTCTGATTTTGTATAGCTGATGATTCTGATTTTCTGTAATATTATTTTAATGATAGTAGTGCTGATTTTCTGTAAAGATGAATGCTGATTTTCTGTAATCTTGATGCTAATTTTCTATAATGCTTAATGTTGATTTTCTGTAATCCTAAATGCTGATTTTCTGTAATGCTGAATGCTGATTTTTTGTAATGATGAATGTTGATTTTCTATAATCCTTATTTTTTTTGTAACGCATTTGAACTTGGTGATTTCGCTGGTAGTAGTGCTTGTTTCATTAGTAGTGTGATAGTGCTGATTTTTTTGATTTTCAGTACTGTTTTGTTCCTTTGATTGTAGTGTGATAGTGTCATTTATAAACAAATAAATAACAAATTATTGTTTGAATTTAAATATTTAAGTTATGATTATTATTAAAATTTGAGATATTATGAGGGTTTGTTTTAATTTAAATGTTTATGGTTTTACTTGCATTTAAATATTTAGTATATAAAATTAGAACTCAGATGTTTAGAAGTAATTAAACTAAAATATTTACTTTTTTTTTAATTGTTCACTTCGCTTTGGTAAAACATTTCATTTCGCATCTTGCTTCTTGCCTAGACTTTAGGAGCCTTGGTCATTTCGGTTCGCTTTGTCTTAAATAACACTGACACTAACTAGTACCCATGAGGCAACATTGGTGAGATTTTCTTGAAGATTTGGCTGCTTCTAGATATCCGGTAAACTACAACGAAAGTGAAATGGGTGTTTCCCTTTGAGAAAAATGAAACCTCTTTGTGAAGTCAGTATCACTTGTCTAATCAGTGCAGAAACTAAATATCTATATCAGTCACTAATCTTGTAATAATAAGAATGGCATTTTGAAGAGCTCTTTTTTTCTTCAGTGTATTTTGGTAGTCAATTAAGCTTGAATGCAGTGCAGTAGGCTGCCTTCTTGACAAGCTGCTTTCTTCAAACTACATTTCTGACCTTCTGTAGCATTGATAACAGCTGATTCCATGGAGATGAATAAAGGCTCTTGTACTTCAGAAAACAAGGAAGTGCCATATTTTAGGGGCCACTCTCAAATATGCTAATTTATGTAAAATTTACATTTTAAGGTAAAGTTTAACTGTAATATTGCTTGATGGGTGTTATTTGTTGTCACCACTGGATTCACTCTTCATAAAATAGGAGGTTAGGGTATCCCATATTTTGGCATCTTGTCTTCTACTTGTCATACTCAAGAATGTCTGCAGGTTTCAGTAGTTCGATCATTTCTCTCATGTTTTTGGAACAGATATGCAAAACTAACTTGAACTGTCTTTGCAATGCGACAGATAGGTTTGAAACTCTAGTACACCACTCTCTCTATTTCTCCCCCTGTGACTGTGCATTCATCTGCGTGTCTGCTTGTGCATGTGTCATCTAAAAAACTTGAAACATAGAAACCTTCTGAACCAATACATATGAGGGTATCAACTAATTATGTGTTTTGGCATTCAGGTAAGGACTTGTATTCACGCAACCTCAAATTGCTCGTACCTTTCTTTGACTATCCGTCAATTGAGTTACGAATGATAGAGAAGGTAATCATTTGGTATCGAGTGCAGTTACAATTTTGATAAACTCCAACAGCTTACCTGTTTGCAGAAATCAGAGCTATTGTTGTTAAGGTTGGAATATATTGCCACGTATGCAGCTTTAATTGAGCTAGAGGTTGAGAATATGTTTTCTTCACCATTCCAGATGGACTATGTTAATCATCAACTCTAATATCCAAGGGTTATATTTCATTGTCAAAATAATTTATCATGCCTAGTATTGGTTGTCATTTCATTGTTTGCATTTGATTAGGATTTTCATATACCGGGATTTTCGGCATTAGGTTTTTTTATTTACTTATGTAGAGTTATATCTATTTTGTCATATATATGCATGCAACTTATGAATGTATACTAAAGAAGTCATACATTAAAAAGTTGTGGAGTACCAAGTGTAAAATGCATAAAAAAAGAATATATGTTTTATGCTCCGCTTCAACAAATGAAAGTTTTCGTTGGAACGGGTGAATCATGTGAGCTAGTTAGATGGATGCGATAAAGGGCTTGTAGTACCTACTAGCTCAACTATGCAGTGGAAGGGAAGGAGCCAACCCCTTTCTTTTGTAGTACTCCCTTGCTTGACCATACAGTCCATTGCACTTGTCCGGATATTTATTATGTTTTTCATATTGTCAGTTAATTTGTTGCCTCACCCACCACTGTTTAGTGGACTGTTGCTTTTTGTATTCTTCGATATCTTCGAGATGATCTGCATCAGAGTTTGTTATTTTCCTCCTCCTCTCCTATGGAACTCATGGTTTATTCTAATGTTGACTGGGCTGGTGAGTCTATGAATCGTAAGTCTACCGCTGGCTTCTGCTTTTTTCTCGCTGATTCTCTTATTTCCTGAAAAAACAAGAAGCAAACTGTTGTTGCTCATTCCTCTGCTGAAATTGAATATCGTGCTATGACATCTACGACAGTTGAGATAGTTTGGTTATGATGACTTCTTGCTAATCTTGACATCTTGTTATTTGCGTTGATTCCTATGCATTGTGACAATACTGTTGCTATTCAGATTGCTCATAACTCAATCTTTCATGAGTGCACAAAACATATTGAGATTAATTCTCATTTTGTGTGCCATCATCTTTAGATGGGGACCATCTCTCTTTCTTTTCTATCTTCAACTACGCAATTAGCGAATTTTTTTACAAAATCTCATATCATTGCCCGTTTTCACTTTCTTAGGAACTTTTGATGTTTTCTACTACCACATCATCATTATTATTAGTATTAGTATTACTGGTAGTTTAGTGATTCTCTTATTTTATGTTTTCCTACTATATAAGGGCCTCGATTGTGTATCTAATTAGTTATGTTTTGATAGATTAATGTAGTTGTAATATATTTTTCCCTTTTCTTTCTTTCTCTTCTTTGTTTGATCAATATTATCAATACCGACTTACAATGTGCTTCAATTGCAGGGTATTGATTCTAAGACACAATTTATATTGGCATCATGGAAACTAAGGTGCTTAGTCTTATCTAGTGTCTGTTTTGTAACTTCAGGTTGCTCTTTTTTTTATCTAATTTCCTCTTTATATACGGTCAATGTGAGAATTTATTGTAAGATGATTTGTAACTTTCTTTTCCTACACAAAGGATCTGCATCCCAAGGACCACTGATGGGGCATTGTTGGATCTGCATCTAGTTAGATTTATGGTTTTATCTACATTCAGACTTTCCATTTGCAACTCCCTAAAATCTTCCAGTTGAAATAGCTGTTTTTCAGAACGCCATTTAAAGTATTAAATGCATAATTTCTTTATGAGATTAATCATGCCTCTTTTTGATAAAGGGTGATGGTGAAGGTTTGCAGCTTGAGTTTTTCTTGATTCTAGTACTTGATTTATGGACATCCATTTGCAATAAATCTGATCAGTGGTATTCATTGCCCAAATATCAAAGCCATGGGATATGCATGGCATCGATGATGCGTGAAGGAGTAGGAGTTGCGGTCAGTGAACACCTCTCTATCAATGAGATCATGTTCCAGCAATTGCTGCTGTATACACAATTCGACTATACTATTATTTCACCAAACTAGGTGTTCCATCTCTGAAGCAAATATGTTCAAACAGTAACTACTAATTGGTCATCAGTTGATCTTTATTCATTGGAAAGAATATTAAGCTGTTTACAGATTTGCTAGAGAACATTAACTTAGATTATTTCTTCTGTAATATCCTTATTTATGACTAGCAATGGGTGTGTCCTATTTTTATGTCTGAAATATGGTCCTATCTGATTTGCAGGACCTACCTCAAACTTCCCTGGAGGCCTCTCATTTCCATTGATGGAAGAACAGTCTATGATTTAAATAATGAATTCAAAGTAAGAAAAATAGGAATTTCTTGTGGTCAATTGTACAAATCTTAGCATTTTGCGTGATTTTGAGATGCATATTCACTCTTCACCACATAACTTTTATCAATTCAACAGATTGTTAGGCATTCTGAGAGTTGGAACATTTCTGCGCTTGAAGCAATTGGCCAGATATTTACACCCAGTTCTCATAGGCCTGGAGGATGAAGTCTAGATGTATATATTACAAATTTCAAGCTTTTGGTGCTGACTTGATTTTTAAGTTAAATCTTTCATTAGAATCTGCTGTAAAAACTATCTACATCTCAAATTAACAACCCCATTTTTCACAATTTGTTTGCCAGGAATGGTGTTAGGACTTTACTGATTTGCAGCTACAGTTGCAGGGCTGCCTTCCCTTCAGTCTTGTATTAATCAAATTCAATTGCTGAAACTCTGGTTGAGCAGATGTCAATTGGTTCAACCTTTATGAGTATATATGACTTACATGTCTGACTTGCCAGTGAACTGCCTTGTATAAGTGTAGGTTCCGACTTGTGTTGGATTGTGCGGGTGTTGTTTGTCTAATTGTCTATGATTTGCAGCATTTTTGTTATAAAAAGAGATACAGAGAATGACTTGCAAGGGGAGTCAGATTTCTTTCTTTTTGATGTAACTCCCTAACTGTGGCATCTATATTGGCTACTTCTTCCTCTTCTCCACCACTATGAATTTGAGCAACTCCCTCCACCCACGTGGCCACAAGCCCTATCCCTAAAATCCATTGCCCTTGGGGTTTCTTCAGTGTTAGTCAAGACTATATGCAGTGACCTAAAGCCTTCAGTAAGAGCCTTATAGATTGCTTACTCTATTTTTGGTGCTATGGAAATGACGCAATATCATCTTACAAAAGCTAAATTGGCAAGGTCCATACTTGATACAGGTTTAAGAGCATCAGAATCCTCCAACATCACCAGGTCTTCAAGCTGTTTCTTCCCCAAGTCAGCAAGACAAATATGCACATTAAATTTTCCTCCCTCAATGTGTTTTATCCTGCTGTCATTGCGCTTGATAAGGTGTGGACAGTTCTCTAGTTTCAGTGATCTGTATGGGTGGGAAGGTTGTATGCCTCATGGGAATCTGTATCCAGTATGGCCTTGACCCTTTTTATCTTGAACTATCTCCGGATCAATGTAGATTTCCCAAAGTTCAGCTATGATGCTGGTGATGGGTTGATTTTCCCTAGGAATCTTGCGATCCAGTAGCCTCTGTCATCTCTTTAAGACTACCAATTCCCGCTTGAACGTGATTTCCATTTAAGCATCCATCTGTATTCATTTTAAACCAACTTGGAGGTAGAAAAACATGGTGAATTAGTTTTTTGTTTTCCCGCTTACTCTCACTTGCATATTTAACTTCTGAAATGCTCTTGAAATTTCTTTTGCTAGGTTTCATGCAGTCTTTGCAACTAATATGATGGTATGACTATACTATCAATGCACTCCCTATTTCTATCATTCCTATTACTCCAAGTGATGGATAGAATCATCTGATGCCATGGCATCTCTCTCTATTTATCTTGGTTTTTCCTTGCAGTTTCCTTTAGTGAAGATATTTAATGGCTTTCAATAAAGATGCTCTATTATAATCTCTCAGCCTTGTAGCAGTCCGTTAGTTAGATATGAAGTTTGTTTCATGTGGAACAAGACTGCAAGACCTTATCTTTCAAACAAATCTCTTGTAACAATTTCTGTGATTGCATTCAGTTAGTTGGTTGTTCAAGGCATATGCATTGTACAAATAAGGGTGCACAAGCATTGAATTACGGTGCCAAGGTTGTAAGTAGGGCTCGAATGAGTGGTGGGTCCATGGTGCCAAGCCAACATGGTGACGAAAGCGCTTGTTTCTATCTATGAATAATGCTCCCCATATCTGAAATCAATAACGTGGACATGGATGGTGCTGTACAGCATGGCTTGTAAGCATGACTGCTGCAAAAACGGAGAGGAGAGAATCTTCCATATTCAAATGTCAGACGATTTTAACGGCGACCGAATTTGGCTTGCTTCAAATTATGCTGTCTATGCTTGGACTATCTTTAACCATGACTCAAATTTAAGTTAGTATTTGAGTAAAAAGCTTGATTTGATATAAAATGTTTCAATGGACAAATTCAAATTTAAAGAAGGAGAAACTTAAATTTAAATGAGGGCAAATCCAAAATTAAATAAGAGTAAAAATGACCATTGAATCTTTAAAAGATGGTGAAATCTCACAATTAAAGGTTTGGGTAAGGATTTGAGTCTCCTTTAATTTTAGTAAAAAAAAAAAAAGTTTCTATTGATTTGATATAAGTTTAAGTAAGGGTTGTAGCAAATTTTTTAGATTTTTTTACTTAAATTTAAATTTGAGTCAGGGTTGGAGATATCCTTAGTGCAAGATATGCAAAACCAAACTTGAGTTGAGTTTTATCAAGAATCTAGAAGTACAATTGAACACGCACTGAATTTGATCATGTTACAATTAGACCGAATCGAGCTTAAACAGCTATGTGTTTAGCTTGACTTGCTTTATTTTCACCATTATTCTTCGACTTCGAGTGTCAGCCTAAGTCCGATTGGTTCATTACACTGTTAAAGCCGTCCCATTTTGGCTATGTCCGATTGGTTCATTATTCTTGTAAGAAATTACAAATTTTGGTATAGGAATATATTTCTGCAATATAAAATGCGCTGCCATCCATAAGATTTTCAAATTTTTGTGGTTGAAATTTTCACAGCCTGAAACATTCCCTTGTGAATAGGAAACACACAAGAGAGAACATTCCCTTGTAAGGGGCCAAGGGAAAAAAAAAATTCCCTTGTAATCTATATAATAAGATGATGAGTCCTCAAAATTTTACACACCTAACACACACTTTCCTCTCAAATTTTACAAATCCACCACAGAGTTGCGCACACATACACACTCATTATATACACACTTTAGTTGTACATGCACAATATCATAGCTCAGTATACAGTGACTTTAGTTACGGAGTATCACTAGTACAACAATACTATGTCTATTCAAAATTTTATCAAGATTTGGATCCCAAATCAATTCGAATCATAAGATTAGTTAGACTTAATGTGCGCGGTGATTTTCGCACAATAAATAAAAAGGACAGATCTCTTCTTTGATGAACACAGGGTTTATCTTGAAGTCGAGGATCCCGAAGCAAAAGGGAGTGAAAAAGGTACTAAGGAGTGGTGATGAATGATTTTTCTGGCTGTCCATGTGAAGGAATCTGCCACTCACAACAAAGAGTTAAAAATGGCGTCAAAGTGTTTTCTAGCGTATTCCCTTCGACAGTTAAGTCAGTCTTTGAGAGAGGGGAGGGAGTCAACACTGTTCTATTGCATGGAATGGATTTTGCGTACTTTCTTTCCATTGGCCTATTTGGAAGGCAGCAAGTGGAGGTGAACAGTCCTTGGGCAGAACGCCTTCTGTCTCACTTGGGAAGTCAATCAGCATTAAATGCTTGGGCCCCCGAGCACTAAATGCCCTTCCATCAAGGCTCTTCGGGCGATAAACACGTCTCATCCACCTGAAGGATCATTGAATGCTCTTCTTTGATGGTTGTGCACCAACGAAGGCATTATTGACCATTGCCCCCCCCTAACTCTGTACTTTGTGCCACATGTCCAATTCCCTTTGGTTGCTAGTCATGTCTTTTCTGTCGTCCTGACTTCTTTGGGAAAGAAAGCTTAATGATTCATTGTCTAACTCTGACTTTGATAAGCTGTAATTGTCAATAATTCACCTTGTGGCTGAGGTGATGTGTCTGAAAATAGACCTTGGGATCTAATAACACCGAGGACATGTGTCAAAGTCCTAGCGTTCTGAGAGTTCATACACTGAGGAGATGTGTCCTCCTTCGAATGTTAGAGGTGTCTTCGGTGCCGAGGACAAGTGTACAATCCGGGTAAATTTGAATTTTTTATAAAAAAGGACAAAATGATAATTTGTTATTTTCAGTATGAAGTGAAAACTTGAATTTTTTTAGAACTCAGATGATGAAACGGACCTTATAGTTGGATTCGTCTCGCGAAATCTAGTTACCTAGACAAATTTTGTCAAATTCTGAGATAGTCAGGTTTTTTACATTTTACAAAGTGGTTAGGTCTCAGGTGACCGAGAAAACGAAATTTTTAATAAAATTTTGAAAGTTGAAAAATAATTTAAAGTAAGTTGAAATAAAAATATTTTGAACTTGAATTAGGGTAAAATTTAATAGTTTCGGGGCTAAAACGGACCCGAAAAATGAGCGCGTGTGGCGCGTTGTGGACCAAGTGTTGGAAATGTATAAATAGGAAAGAAAATCAGATTTTCTACTCTTATTTTGTTGGGTTCTCACGTTGGAGAGGAAGAGAGGAAAAAAGAGAAAGCTTTCTACCTTCTCTCTACGATCTACGAAGATTGGTTGCTCGAATCAACTCGGGCCAAGAACAAAGTTATTCTAAGCGTCGAGGGCTATGCGACTATACCTAAAAGCGCGAATTTCATCAAAACCCAAAAAACGGGATTTTGGGGAAATTCAAGGTTAAGACTTCTTGGAAGTTCTTAAAGACTTTCTACTTCGATTTTTATGCTCCAAGAGATAGGATTTTCTCCCTAATTAGGTTTATTTCTAATTTAAGGTATTTATATGAGATAGGTAGGTTGATAAAATTATTTATCACTTGCCTATTGTTGTAAATTGATGAAATTGGGCATTGAAAATGAATAAATTTAATTCTAGTGTGAATTGGTGATTAGAAATTGCTAAGTATGTAATTTCTTGGCAAAATGTGATTTGTGGGCATATTATGTGTTTACATTATGCCTTGATGAATTTAGTTTGTTAATTGTATGATTATGTGATGACATACTTGGAAATTGTATTGAAAGAAATGTTGATATATGCTTATGATATATTGAGCATTGATGGATTATAAAAATTATATATTTAGGATGTAATTATCCATGGTATGTGTTGAAACTGTTCATATAACATTCATTACATATTGAACATGGTAATAGTCTTGCAATGGTGTATTACATTACATTTGCACGAGAACATCACATTCGAGGACATCGACATGGGTGTGGGTGTGTGTGCATGTGTTGGATCAAACATCATCGTTGGTGGGTGATAAGTGAGTTCGTTACTGTTGGACCAAGGCTCAACAGAATCGCACGGTTGT